GGTAATACTGCAGAAGGAGAATCAACAGACCCTCTTTCCGAAATTACAAACAACCTGTACGATAACCCCCAACAAAATGGTAATACTGCAGAAGGCGAATCAACAGACCCTCTTTCCGAAATCACAAACGACATGTATCAGAACTCAGAAGGAAATGGAAACGGAACAGAGGAACTTTTCCAAAGTGCGTACGACCCAGCTGAGTTAAGTGAAAAATGCCACATCGTTTTTCACAGCTTTATAGAGGAAGATATAAATGAAATAATCAATTCGGTGAATGATAATTTATTCAAGAGAGAGATGCTTGAGAGATGGATACAGCTACACGAAGATACAGAAAGGGCGGTGCACACTTTGAAGGAGCATTTATCATATTATTTGGGAAAATTAAAAAGTTTGTATAGCGTGGATGAAAACATTGCAGAGGACCAAATGCGGAAAGGCAAGCATACTATTGACGCAACCATGAAGATCACACAAGAGTATCACAATAGGCTCTTTTTCTACTACATCATAAAGGATAATTTGCCCGAGTCTGAGCATGAGCGTTTTATACATGTAGGCAGAGAATCCTTTACCCTATTTATAAATGAGCTAGTTACTATGGAGGAGCGTGAGTTAAATAAATGCGTACTGGAGTAAGGGACATTCTTCGTGGAAGCGTACGGATGAAGGATGCGAAGGGAAGGCTAAGGAGCAGGTACACGTCTGTATACATATATATGTTGCTGAGAAGAACAGGACGAAATATTCTTGTACATATATGCTTATATATGCACTTATTTGATAAGCTCTTTTTTATTAGAAACAAAAGCGAAGTCCATTATACAGCACTGTTTCAGCAATGATGGGTGCTCCATTTGAATGGTGATTCTATTTTTTACCATGAAAAAGTATTTAAATATTGAAAGACGAATATATGTCCTATGCGCATTTTAACTATAGCAGTGAATTAAATTCATGTGTAGAGTTTGTCAATTTTTGTTTTCTTTAAATCGCCATATAGAACTTATTATCAGATGATCTAAACTGTGTTAAGGGTTTTTTCCTTTTTCTTTAAACATTTATACGTCCTTGATATGCGTAGCTTCCAAAGGCTAAAAGTTTGCCATTACACCTTTTGAAACTATTGAAGGGAAATATTTTATTTTACTCCCTAATTGTGGTAACGATTCTGAAAATTCACTCAGATGGTGATATGTTTCATCGCGCATATAAAATAAGTGATTAGGATAGAAGTGATCTGTTCTGAGGATGCGTAATACGAGAGAAAATTCGTTGAACTTTAAGGTAAAAATAAAAGGACTAAGGAACGTGGAACAAATCAGGACATACAAATTAGCAATACTTCGCTCACGTTAGATCGCAATAATGATACCACGCTTTATCCTTTTTCCTTACATTTAGCATATTGCATATATAACATTTTTTGAGCTCGTAAGAATTGCATTGATCATTTCATTATTGGTATATAATTTATTATAAATAGCCGCCATGGGGGACTTGTACAGGGAATAATGTCCAAAAGGGATTGTTAAGGAGTACGGAATTAGCAATAAAGGGAAAATCATTGGAGTCTGAATTATTCTGTTTAAAAAAAAAAGAGATAGAAGGAGCATAGATCGCATTACCATTTTTTTGCTAAAATAAAACTATAAGACGTTTACATTATGCACAGGACAAGAAAAAAGGGATGGAAACTGTGGATAATAGTAGAATTTAATCAAGACAGTCGTTCGTTCTGATCTGAAAGCGCACGTATCGGTAGTGCATATATCTAATAATATGCTTTTTGAAATGTTCTAGATTTAAATTCAAAGTTATCTGCATTTTCTTTACGATCGTTCAACGGCGAAGAAAGAGTGACATAAGAAGAAACCTTCTCCCCTTTTGTCGTTTACCATGCATAATAAAAGAAAGGTATAATTTTTTTTAGTTGAAATCCATAAATAATAGTTGCATTTGTATAGGTAAAAAATATGTAATCCTGAGGGAACAGCTCGGTGGGTTTTATAAGGTATACGCTACTTTTGTAAAGAAGCTACTCTTCAAAGGCTACTAGCGTCAAATATACAGAAAAATATTTGCTGACTCGCCTATATGCCATATTTTGCAAATTTTAGGAGACAGAAATGGCTGCAGAAATATATTGTAAGCAGGAAGGGGCCTTCATATATTTGGTGAACTAGCCATTTGGCCTACCAACAAGGAATACACGTTCTTCTCTCTGATAAATATTTCTAAGAGGTGCACCGTGAGGGAAAAAATAAATTCTATACATCTCCTATGATGTCCTCTCTTTTTTTTCTTTTTTTTATTTTGGCTAACGATATGTTTTAGAATGTTTTAATTTATTAATGTAAAAGTTGCTTTTGCTTTTCTTAAAATTTTTGAAATTCTCCAACATTTTATAAAGTAAAGTACTTTTTACAACATGTTTTAACGTAGTTTAACCTATCTTAATGTATTTCAACATATTTTAACGTAGCTTAACATACTTCAACGTATTTGAACATTTTTTAACGTAGTTTAACATACTTCAACGTATTTGAACGTAGTTTAACGTCGATTAGCATATTTGGACATGTTTTATCGCATTTTAACGTATTTTATCATAATATTACACAACGCCTCTGAGTAATAAATTTAGAACAATTTTCGCGCACGTAATAACCCCTTTCTATGTATACTTATATAGACCACAAAAATTAAATTAAGCGACTATGCCTTTTCTCAACAAATCCAATTCTGCTTCGGCTGACGGATGCTCAGATAAGAATAACAGAAGGAACGAAAAATGTTCCACCACGAATGGTGCTGGAAAGAAAAGCTCCCATGGCCTTAACTTCCGAAGATTCTTTTTCCCCTCCTCCTCGGTTGCACTTCTCGTTGTCGCCATTTATATGTTACTACTAGTAAGCTATATAAAATAACAATTTTTCGAATAAATAATACGCACCTTGCAGTTTTTAATTTGGCCCTTATCTAGAGTCAAATATACGCTCCTCCTGGATGTTTAAATGGAGGAAGTAGTCCATACATATGAACCATAAATATTATACCTATGCCTAATGTGTACGGCACCTGTCGTTCTGAACCTTTTTAAAAAATATCTCGCAGAAGATAACACCCCTCGACAGAAAGGTCATGGCCCAAATACAAATAAGGAATTTATCCGAGTTAAATGAAAATGGATGCTTCAGAAAAAGAAACTCAGATACAAATGTAAGTTCCTCCGATTCTGAATCCAATGATGACGTGTTATCTGAGTTTGATGAAATGGATTTAGGTGAAAATGAAGAAGAGGACGCTTTTGATTCAGATCGAATTGTTGAAGAAAAATATGAAGAGAAAAATGACTTATGTAATATTGACTCGCCCAGATTGGACGAAGCCGAAGTAATATTTGCTAGCGATGTGACAAAAGAGGAACTACACGAACAGATCAATAATATGGAAGAAGTACCATCAAAGGATGAAATTGTAACAATGTGGAAGCGCGCATATGCTTTGGAAGTACAGACCATTTCAGAAATGCTAATTGCATTAATGGAATATTTCGAAGAATTGAAGGAAAAGCATCAAGTAGAAGAAGAACATGCTTTCACTCTTTGGGGTGGCGTTATGTCCATTTTTTCTGACGTGCTAACTGAGAGAGAGGAACACTACAATAAACTTTTTTACGGCTTTATCATGAAAGATGAGTTGACAAAACAGGAATTTGTCAATTTCTTGAACAATTACAAGAAGGAGGCTGCTGAATTGAGAGAAATTTTAGAGACTTTCGCGAAGAAAGAATTGGGTGCAGAAATCATTCCAAGAGAGGAAGGTAACTAAAAATGTGATTCTTCAACTGAAAAAAATTACGAAAGAAAGTGGTAAAACGAATCATTGTGCACCTATATATGCGAGTATCAGCAACTATAGCGCAGATTGATAATGTAAAGAAAGAGTGAAAAACAGTGTATGCTTTTCTTTGATCGTATAATTGGACAAAGTGGCCTGGACAAAGCAAGATCTCATGATTTTACTGCCCTGCGGTCCGAAATGAAAAGCAGAAGATGGAAGAGAAACGGTTTGGAGTTGTTCATAATATATCATCTGTCACATACGTAGCGTGTAGACAGATATGGAGCCAAAAGAGAAGAATCACTATGCAAAATATGAAAGCTACCTAGATTGGTAGTTTATCTATAGATCAAGTACATTTTTTTGAATTTCCTTTTGTAAGCACTGACAATATTTTCTATATATGTGGCTTACTTGCTGACTTAATTCCATTTTTACAGTTTCTCCCTTTGAACTTGTTATTTACTAGTAAAAATTTCACATTTAAGAATCAACTTCCACTTGGATTGGGTCTTTACATGCGTTTTAGTGAATATACATAATGTAGCTATGACCATAATTTTATAAGTACCTTTGCATATGGGCTACCTAAAACGATATAGAATGACGTGAGGTGCATATTTGTTTATAACATGATAATTTAAACTGCTAAATGAAGGAGGATATAAATATAAGAATAAAATTGCATAATGATGAGAAACGCTTTTACAAAAGAGTTAGGATTTTTATTTGGAAATTTCTTCCGAACAGAAGGAGGAAGTCTCCAAATGGGGTGTCTCAACGTAATCATTAATTTGACTTGGATCAATTAGGGAAAATGGAAGGAATGAGAAAAATTCTTAAAAAGATTCCGCATGTTGAGAGATGATTTACATGGCACATAATCCCGTACTACATATTATCTATCATCATAGAATGGTGAAAGTATGGCTGTTAATGTTGGAACTGCGAAAGGGTAATTTGTATACTTGAAAAATGATAAAATATAGCCGGGGAAATAGGGAAAGACTTAAAATGTGACCATGTTATCCAGTAGGAATAACACACCTTGCTTATTATCATGGGAGGGGGCTTATTATAAAATCATGTAAATATTAAGATGGTACCTTGATCAACATCTTGATAGGATAAAATGGGACAATGCAGTTACAGTGTTCATGTAATACATAACTTTTGGAAATTATTTAACTAAAAAGACACTAAAAATCATGGGAATTATTCATAATAACCAAAGAAACAAGCAAATCACAATTAATTTGGTCTCCTTAGCGCTTAATATATAATTCACCCCCCAAAAAATGAGGCGGTCACATTTGAAACAAATTAAGCCAATGAGAATTTTCCCAAAATTTCAGAAATAGATCGCTACCACAAGTAGAAGTCAGCGGCTCAAAATTAATTATACACGTCGAACAACCAGATAACAATTCATTTTATACATCTTCTAAAGCTTCTCACATAATCCATGAAACGAGGCTTATATATACCGTTGGATCTCAGGTCATATTTCAATACTTTTACAAGGATGTAAAGAAATGTTATAAAGCTCACGGCGCACAGTCCGAGGCTGCAGAAATGGTAAGTTTCAGAGAGGGCAAATCCTGCTGCGCATAATCCCAGTGCGGTTAATACGATTACAAAGGGTAGGGCCAGTATGGTACCATATATCCTAATTTTCAGCAGAGTAAATTGCTTTTTGCTAATTCTTGGATTGCGTTCACATTCATCGATATGACAGTACGCTTTAAAAATTTTTCTCTCTATTTTAGAATCCTTCACTCCAACAGGGTTGGGTACTTTTTCCTTTTTCGTAATGTGTTTCATACTGTCTAAGGCGGAGGGCTCAACAGCGTTGTACTTCCTTTTGATAGAATCTCTAATTTCCTCTGAGGCCTTTTGATGAACCACCATTTTAAATACTTCTGCATTCATTATCTTCTGCTTTTTTAATTTTTCTTTCACCATATTAATTTTTTCAACTGCTTCATGTAATCTCTTTTGATATTCTAACGCAATTGTTGTTCTTGCACTCAACGCTTTCTCCTTCATTGATTTAATGTCTTCAAGTGCTTCACCCAACCTCTCTTGATATT